GCACCTCTTTTTTTTGGGGGGGCACCAGTTGGGGGGGGGGGGCCGTCATGTGACAGAAGCCACAACAGCACGTTTTATTTTTTCCTGTTTATTCGAAACATTCCCAAACGCATTAACTATATCATGAAATATCTTGATTCTCATCTTTATAAATTATGTTGATCTATAGTGGGCGTTGGTCAAAGTTGTTCTGATTGGTCAATCGCGCCATCCAGCAGTATGTTATTCCCAGATAACAACCGCCAAACACCTGCCTTCATGAAATAGATTTGATTTATTGTCTAAGAACTGATAAATACATGTAGAGCTGGCATTAGTGCAGTTACTCTCTTATCTAATTATTACAGTTGAACATTCTGTGATTTTCCAACTGGCTGATAACAACCAAACATAAAATACAATCCAACAGAACTCAAGTGAGAAGTCAAAACAGCACGACAACACTCTGCATTCCTTTATTCGTGAACCCTTCTATTGTTAAACTGCAACACAGATCTGAGTTGTGACGCAGCTCATGACCGATTCTATTCAGTCAGATGAAGCGGAGAAATGCTGGATGTCTGGTGTTCAGCTGCAGGAGTGTCTCAGCAGATCTCACGTGACGCTCCTAAAAACACCACAGGAAAAATCATCTGATCAAACACAAACACCAGGACAGTTATGGTCCAAATCATTCGAGCACTCCACATGACCACACGGCTTGTGATATCTCAAAAACTCCCCACACAGAGAAACACCTTGCTTTTGGGTTTATATTTAATCAGATACACTATAATGCACTCACAAACACTTCTCTCTTTCTTTGAAGAGTAAAACGCTCTTCATCATAAAGGTGACCTTCAGCTAAATCTGAGTCTGATGCTTCCGTTTCAAAAGCTTCAAATATTCATATTTTTCTCACACACTCCTATCAGTTCACGTCAGACGACAAGGATGCGTCCTCGGGTGGAACGGACACAACAGATCAGACGGCCTCTATGCTTGCCGGCCTGGGGTGCGTTTCCCACAAGCATGGTTAGCTAACTATGGTGGTTAGTTCCATGGAGTTCTATTGGTAACAACGGAACATAGTTGCTTTTGGCAAACGCTCCCCGGATTGATTTTCATGTTCTTAGTGCATATTGTTCATACACACTCACCGGCCACTTTATTGGGTCCACCTGTTTAACTGCTCGTTAACACAAACATCTGATCTGCCTGTGCTTTATGACCACAGTGTGCCCATCTTGTGATGGCTACTTCCAGCAGGATAACACACCATGCAATGCATGTCATCGCAAACTGGTTTCTTGAACACTGGACTTCAATGACCCCTGCAGTCAGCAGATCTCAATCCAGCAGACCACCTCTGGGACTCACTGCAGCTCTGTCACGTCAGTATGGACCAAGGTGTCTGAGGAGTCTTTCCAGCACCTTCTGGAATCTAGAATTAAGGCAGTTCTGAAGGCAAAACGGGGCCCAACCGCGTACTAGCAAGGTATAGCTAAAAAAAAAAAGTGCCCAGTGAGTGTATAAATTCGAGAAACGTGGAATGGAGACGGTTAGTGCACTGAAAATGAACATCCTGGCATAATAATACATTTTTAAAAATACTTCTGTTTACTTTCAGAACTACATTAATTCTGTTCATCACATAGTGTGATTGTGTCTCTTTAAAAGACGTGGATGAAATGGCTTATTTTTTACATTTTACAATCTGTATATGAACATGTACGTGTCAGAGATCTGGCTACATGAACTTTCAACGGAAGGACAGAAAACACGAGGAAGAAAGCACTGACCGCTGAGGAGAAAACAGCCGAAACAGAGACACGTCACAGACAGATGGGCATTTTCTTCTTCCTCGTGTCTTTGGAGTCTTGTTTGGACAGGCGTCTCTTGAGCTCGTCCGGCACGCGCTCGTAGCAGTGCTTACACACAGGCTTCAGATCCATCTCCACAAACTTATCCCTGAACAACAGCACAGATTACCTCTACACCAATTCTTTCATCAGTACTGTATATTAAATTACACCACCCTCCTTATATTGTCTGCTTTTGGTAAATATGAGCCAAACCAAATCAAAAATGCCTTCACTGTTTGTCCTTTTATTGTGTCATGCAAAACATGCAAAGTATTAACACCCCTAGAAATTCTTATGAGTAAAAATCCAGCTATCTAGTCCCAGTGTATTGTAGCGTAATGAAGTATGTTTCACTGGGTAACAAACTCCTCCAGTCATCCATCACTACAGGAGAGACACCAATCATGTGACAAAAGGGGCACGCATCAGAAAACCGAATGTTGACTGGATTTTGATGTGATTGGCGTAAATGCAGTTTGGCTTTGTACATGAAGAGCAGCAATGACACCATGACTAAAGATCACGAGGTCAAAATTAATATGTGCATGGAAGATCTGTTCACAATAACACACGTTAAGAACAGTGTTCGTTTTGACAGCAACCTTTGTTTTAGTTTAATTCAATTTGAATTCCCTGTGTCTATAGGAAAACTGCCAAGAGAAATGCTAAATGAGGGCCAACTAGCCCCAGTCTCCCTGACTCCTTAAATATGGTTTGCATAACTCAAACGTGAATGTGTTCTTAACATTTGAAGCTGATGTGTTCCTCTCTAGCATGCATCTGAAACACTGGTACGCACTTGAGGGTCAGCTTGGAGTTGCACGTGGAGCAGCCGAAGCATTTGACACACCAGGCCTTGTTCAATGCAGACACCACTTCAACACAAAAGAGAAGCAGTCAAGCACACATGTGGGCTCTTCGCTATAAATCCTCCGATTATGATCCTCATTATATGAGCGATGCAAACGGTCTCACCATCTCCCTCAATGACGCGGTTGCAGTGGTAACAGACTTCTCCAAAGAGCTGTGAGAGAAGTGTGACACTCACATTAAGATCAGGTTTCAAAGCAGTGTGTTTTCACTGCGTACAGCATCTGCCACAGATGTGGGCTGCATCATGTCTCAGTAATATTTTTGTAGACTGTCCCGTACATATTGTCTCTCATGGGGTTTAGACCCAGTGGGCAACTGATGTTGAAAAGACATCAAACTGACGTCAAAAACTTGACATGGTGTTGATTTGATGTAAATTGAACATGAAACATATTGGTCTTGATATACATAAAACCAATTTCAGTATGGGATTTATTTCCTATTTTCACCCAGTTACCACTGGAAGAAATTGCCATCCAAACTGAATTTAAAGTGATGTTACAGCATTTTGGTCAAGCCTTGAATTTGACGTCAAGGTGCCCGCTGGGGAGCCTGATCACTCCTTTCAACATTTGAAATGCACATTGTAAAAATCTGAACATCCAGGTAAGTTATTACAGTGATTTGAAGTAAAATGCCTTAAGCTTAATGCTGACTGACTTGCACAAATACAACAGAACAGACATGGCATGCATCTGTTTTTTAGCAATGTTTATATTCATATCTTGATATTTTGAATTTTTCATCATACAGTGGATAAATGAGCTAATTTCCAGACTTTACCTGGTTGTAGTGAGTCTCACAGTATGCCAGGCCCTTGCGCTCATAATGCCGATGACCAAGAAATGGTCTCTCACATTTAGCACACACGAAATGCTGCAAACAAGAAGACGATAGATGATAATAAATGTCAAGATCCCACACCGGATTGGCTCAGAGGATGAGGTCAACGCCTCATTAGAGCATTCAGAGGATCAGTCATCACTCTCCCACTATGATGGACACAGAACGGCATGTGTTTTGGGTGTGTTACCTCCACGTGCCACTGTTTGCCCATGGCGTTGACCACGCGGCCCTCGACGGGTCTCCTGCAGGCGCCGCAGATCGGCACGCCCAGCTTATCGTGACACGGCAGACAGTACAGCTCACCCCTCAGCTCCCTGGCTTCAGCCGTCAGCTCCTTACTGAAAGCAGAATCACTCAGTCCTGAGCTTCAGAGACGTGCCATGGGTTCAACATCTTATTCCTATCTCACTGTCAGAAAACATGTGGGACTTCTTTGTACCTTATCCACCGCTGAACCAGTCAAAGTACTACCTTAAAGGTACATATTACTACTATCTATTTCTTTACAGACCCACTCCTGAGCTGAAATGCATTGGGAATAATGTCAAAACATTAAAACGTCACGTCAAAAGATTTGAGTAATAAGATGTATAAATGCTGTGAACTCCTGCTTGGACATTCTAAGAGTCTCTCGTCCCTCCCGGCGCAGTATGTTACTCACCCGCAGTTACTGCAGGTGAAGTGGTCAGGATGGTACGGGTCATTCTTGAAAATCAGCGGGATGTCATCAACGATGGCTTGGCATTTCTGGCAGATGTACTTCCCCAGACTGTGAGCCTTCTCACGGTTATGACACGGACGGCACAGGTGTCTGGCAACATAAAACCATTCACTCAATCAGAGTTTATAGACTAGCTTGTTTATTTCCAAGTCACATTCAATGAAAACTTCATGGGCCTCATTTATAAAGTGTGCGTATGCTCAGATTTGATCTTAGAGTGTGCGCTCGCTTAAATCCATGCCAACGCTCATATTTGTGAGCCCGGAGCACAAAAGCAGTGTTAAGTCGCTGGGGTATATTTGTAGCAATAGCCAACAATACATTGTATGGGTCAAAATTATACATTTCTCTTTTATGCCAAAAACCATTAGCATATTAAGTAAAGATCATGTTCCTTGAAGATATTTTGTAAATTCCCTACCGTAAATATATCAAAACTTAATGTTTGATTAGTAATATGCATTTCTAAGAACTTAATTTGGACAACTTTAAAGATGATTTTCTCAATATTTAGATGTTTTTGCTCCCTCAGATTCCAGATGTTCAAATAGTTGTATCTCGACCAAATATTGTCCTATCCTAACAAACCATACATCAATGGAAAGCTATTTATTCAGCTTGCGGATGATGTATAATCTCAATTTTAAAAACATTGACTCTTATGACTGGTTTTGTGGTCCAAGGTCACATTTGTAAAAACGGTCTTTGACGTGGAAAAGTGCTTAGCGTCACGTCAGGGTCTGAGCAGAGGTACACACTTTTTCTTGTTGGAGTACTGCAGGTTTTTGGAAATGTAAGATGTTCTTGCAGCTCACTGTTCTAAATTAAAGAATTTGGATGATGACTGGTGATCTTTTACATGTTAATGACATTAATTAGGAGTCGTTTACAAGCAGAGAGCTGAAACCATTCAGTTGCGCGCAAGTTCAAGATCATTTGCGATTCATAGATTTCACTCTTTCATCTGAAAGAGACGCATACGTGTGTTTTCTGTGCATACGTTCATTTTATGAATCACATGTATGCATATTTGAGAGATGATCGTAAGATCAAATTTAGTTTGGTTTCTGCGCAACATTTTATGAACGAGGCCCTATGTGATTTGACTGAAAGTTGTACAACCCTGTTGAAAAAAACAGCATATGCTGGTTAGGTATGTTTTGAAGCATGGCAGCTGGTTTGAGCTGGTCATTAGTCAGTCATGAACTGGTTTAAGCTGGTTATGAGCTGGTCCTAAGCTGGAACTAATTACTTAGGACCAGCACATGACCAGCTGCCATGCTTCAGAACATACTTAACTGGTTTTTGTGTTATGCTGTTTTTTTT